GTGGTACAAACATTCTTGATATTACTCGTAGGCGAAGCCCTTCTCATCACTGCTTGCTTCCCATCTTGTGCAAGGTGACATTTAAGCATTGGTGTGATGCTAATTTTCTTGAGGGGAATAGATGAGATCATGGTGTCTGTCCAGTGGTTTTGAGGAGGACTGAGTGATGAGTGTTTGCACAGCGTGCTCACAGAGAAGCCCCAAATGTCACCGAGTAGCTCAGAGCCGTGCATACACCCACACTTTGACAAACCACCAGACCGAGCACTCATAAATGGTCAGTTGTTATAAGTTACAGTGATGCAGAGCTGAAAAATCCTTCTCTTACGAATGCATCAACCTCTCAAACTTGTGATCACAGCGATTGCAACGAAACCACACGGTGGTTAACTCGACATGCATGCAATAATCATTTAAGGTAAAACTGGAAGAAGAATTTTTGTTGAATATCTAAATGTAGAAGCTCTCATTTGCACACAAGCGCCTCAAATTTTCAGCGCTTTCAGTGGTAATACTGACATGAAACTTCTTTTTGTCAGCCTTCACTTTGTCAATAGGTGTATGGTGGCTTTCAAAATTACTTGTATTATTCAGAGGTTAACAGTCCCGACTTCAAAAGGTAAAATAGGATCTTATCAGCAAGACAAAACAATGTCAGTGCATCGGAAAAAGTGCATAGCTACTCATAAAGATTAAAAAAGTTGAACCAATCTCTCTTGAAATCTTGATGTTTTTGGGGACAATTGCTGGCTCAATTGCCGCATACTTGGATCATTGAATGCTTAGAGATGTATAACATCAACAGGATTCTGAGAGCCTTCATTGCAAACTCGATGAAGCTGTGGAAAACCACCCTCGAAGCCAACTGCAAACCACTTGCACAAGTGTCCATCAAATGTGGCATATACCAAGGAGATGCTCTGTCCCCGCTACTGTTCTGCATAGGCCTGAACCCCCTCAGCCAAATTATCAACAAGACTGGCTACGGATACCGACTCAAAAATGGGGCCAACATCAGTCACCTCCTCTACATGGATGACATCAAGCTGTACGCCAAGTGTGAGCGAGACATCGACTCACTGATCCACACCACCAGGATCTACAGCACTGACATTGGGATGTCATTCGGACTAGAGAAGTGTGGTCGGCTGATCACAAAGAGGGGGAAGGTGATCCGCACAGAAGGAGTCTCACTCCCACAAGGAACAATAGCAGACATAGAGGACAGCTACAAGTACCTAGGTATACCACAAGCAAATGGTAACCTCGATGAGGTCACAAGGAAAGGAGCCACAGCTAAATACCTCCAACGAATAAGGCAAGTCCTGAGAAGCCAGCTCAATGGCAAGAACAAAATCCGTGCGATAAACAGCTATGCCCTGCCAGTAATCAGATACCCTGCTGGAATAATTAGCTGGCCAAAGAAGGAGATAAAAGCCACAGATATTAAGACCAGAAAGCTACTAACCATGCATGGAGGGTTCCATCCCAAATCCAGCACCCTGAGACTGTACACGAGCCGCAAGGACGGAGGCAGAGGACTAGTGAGTGTGAGAACCACCAGACAGACAAAATGGTAAGGGCGAACCAACCAGACATTGTCGTAGTGGATAAACAACAGAGGAAAGCCGTTGTGGTAGATGTAGCAATGCCAAGTGATTGCAACATCAGGAAAAAGGAGCACGAGAAACTGGAGAAATACCAGGGCCTCAGGGAAGAACTGGAGAGGGCCTGGAAGGTGAGGACCACAGTGGTGCCTGTGGTCATCGGGGCCCTCGGGGCAGTAACCCCCAAACTGGAGCAGTGGCTACAACAGATCCCAGGAACAACATCAGACATCTCAGTCCAGAAATGTGCAGTCCTTGGCACAGCCAAGATACTGCAGGACCCTCAAGCTCCCAGGCCTCTGGTAGAGGACCCGAGCTCAGAGGATAAGAACCACCCGCGGTGGGTGAGAAGGGAATCTTTTTTTTCACGTGATAATAAAACTTAATGGGTTGTTTATATGTGCACATTATATGTCACTTTCAAAGAAAGGTGAAACTACCTTGTAAAACCTTAACCATCCCCTCCAAATAGTGAAATGATCAATAAATAAAATGCTCGCAGCAACACGTGAACTAACTGACTTAAAAAGATCCTTGACAGAAAGCTCAGTTTGTGCTGCGTCTGGCAGGTCAGAAATACAGAGTAAACTGCACAGCTGAAGATTAAAATGATTTTTGACAACGAACTAAAATTACTTCCAGATTGGAAGTCCGGCAGCTCATAAATGGTGCTGTGTATGTTTTCAAAAAGTTTAATCTATTTGTCAACTTGTTTGGCCAAACTTGCTTTCACCACTCTCCCATGACAACATTTCAGCTTTGTATAGAATCATAGATTCACAGATTAATGCTTTCCTGTTAGGCGTTACGTTTTTAACCTCTGCTAGTTCTGTGTGGCTGTTTCACATCGTTATCTCATATATTGTGAGGGAATGTAGTCTGAAGTAGCTTAAAAATACATACATTACTCTGTTAAGCTATTAAATAATGCGTAGCTTCCGAAAATACCACATTTTAAAACTATAATGCTCTGCTGACTACAGTCATATTTAATACGTTTGTGTATTATTGTAAAGTGAATTAATTTCAGTAACTTACTTATTTTCAAGCCAATTTTTCTGTAAATTATTATGATTTTTTTGTTTACTAGTAATGCAAACAAAACATTTCAGAAAAGAATATGACAACAGACTATAATACAGAAATATGGGCTTAATAAAAACAATTTTTTGATATCTGCTAAAGCTTTTTAAAACCCATATTTCATTTGACGGACAGGCCTCATTGGCACACATATTTACATTTATGTGTAAAATAAATGTAAATATTTATGAAAAATGACTTCATGCCATTGAAAGTAATAGGACTGCACAAGAAGTGTTGATGAACAAAGTCAAACAGAGGAGAGAATAAAAAGTGTATTGATACACAGATGCAATGAAAGTTCTGGAGAAGAAATAAACACTGAAAACCAGTTGGTCAAAAACCTTCGACACAAACACTGTTTAGAGGCTTATGTTTCATCACCTCTGAACAAAAATCCGGTCCAGGACCTCGGACTAAGATGGTACACCACTTTCTACCAAAAAATAGAAAACTTATACAAACTCCAAAAAGAAGCACATTGCAGTATTAAATAGCACTGAGTGACAGAAGGTACAGTGGGAAAGAAAAGCACCAGGAGCCTTTTGGTAATCTGAAAGCGAGTTTTGCATAGTTTGAAATCCAATTAATTTAATAATACTGATAGAAATTTACTCATTAGAGTTCATATCAGAATTAAGTTTCATATTTAATGTATGCAATATATTTTTCACATTGTGGCTTATTTATTGACCAAAACCAACAACAGAAACAAATCCAAAAAGAGCCTCTTTCTCAAACTTTCCATCACCTCAAACATATTTATCATAAGGCCAAAACTTTCCTATATTACTCAGATTTTCACAAACTCACAAGTTGAACCCTCTGCTCTTGTTGTGCAATGAACATGCTCCAAATTGTTGACGTAAAAACTGCAGAGATCGCATCTTTACTGGTGGTATTTGCTGTATGCTTTTTGTTTCCTCTTCAACAACACTTTTTTTTTTTTTTTTTTTTTTTTTTGCTCAATCACACAACGGTTTGGTTGCACCAAAGTCTGTCTTTTTTCCTGCCGGAGCTTTTTAAGGTGCTCAACGTCTTTTCTTGCCGTCTTTTTTTTTTATTACTATTTGCATTAAACTCAACTAAGACAAGAGTGGCGCATCTTCAGGAGTTGAGTGCTCCACAATGTTGATCACCTACTGTGTGTAAAAGACAACAGATTTTTTTATCTGGAACTGTTATGTAAAAATCCAGAAATAAAAACCTTTCTCAAAAACAAATATTTTCTGGAAGTGACAGGTAAACTGTCTTTCCTCTGCTTCAGTGGTTCTGTTTATGTTTTAAGGTTTTACTTTTCAATTCTGAACTTTACACAGAAAGCTCATGAAAACTATTGCATGTTTGTCGAGTGCTTGGGTGAAGTGTTTGTGCTTGTCTTTGAGATAAACTGTCAAAAGAGTACTTTAAAATTTTTTAATGTGAAAAAGAAATACAGTTTTGACAAAACAAAGTTATTTTGTGCAATCAAAGGAGAATAACACAATGAAATGTGATGGAAATAGATTCCTGCAGCAAGTTCAACTTGTTATTAATAATTTTGCTGCATGCACCGGTTTTAAACAAAAAGCTACAAAAAACCTAATGTAGGACTAGCCAACCGCTGTGGTCTGTGTAAGTGACCATCTCTCTACAGTTGGCCTATTTATGAAGGTTGTCACATTAACATCTGACATATCTGACAAAAGAAAAAAGCAGACATCTCTATTTTGAGGGTGCACGTTTGCAAGCCTGCCCTCTCTGTATGTCAGTACCAATGGGCTTTGGCCTGCATGTTTCCTGTCACAGGCCAGTCACTTTCAAGTGGTTTCTGTCACAGCATAGAATACTCTATTAATGTAGTGACCAGCACACAATGGCTGCAGGGGTAGAAAACCATCTACGGCTTTCACAGATATATAGCATCACACAAATATCCCACCACTGTCCCCATTTTTCTCCCTCTCCCTTGTTAGCAATTCTCCCTTTCTGCATTTATATCTATTTGCCTATCTATATATCTGTTTATTTATATATATATATATAATTTTATAGGCATCTATATATGTATACACATGCATGTATGTGTGTGACAGAGAGAGAGGAAGAGAGAAGGTTTTTTTACTTTTGCTTTTGATAATACAAACTTCCTTGCACTTTAAACAAGCACAGCAGTTTTATAACATGTGGGTTAATAAAACAAAAAGTTGCTTTCTTGTAGCATGAAACAAGCCATTGAACTCTATAATCAATGCACCAATAGGAGACTTGAAGAGGAGGTACTGTGAAGACAAAGAGGAAACCACCTTGTCCCACAGACCAACCTGTGCCCCAACATTTCAGAAGTCACTGTACAGTCATGATGCAGGGTAGCTCATCACCCTCTTGGGAGAAAACTCACTAAATACCCGGTAAGTGCCTCATTCGTGCAGATTTCTGCTTTTTTCATCTTCCGCGACTTGAAACCACAAGAACTTGCACTTGCTCTTCCTCTGTCGTTTTTAGCACCCTTTTATTTTTCTGAAGAAAATCTAGTGAAAATTGGTTCTACTGTGCTCTACTGTAGCCCACGGAGTCTTTCAAATGAGTCTTCTCTCATTTGACTTTAATCCTCTAAAGGCGCGCTGCGGGGAGGATGACTGTGAGTTCATGTCCTGTAAAAGGATGTGTAAATCTGACAAATGCATGCATGGTTTTCCCCTGTGTAAGCATTTAGATTCTACTGTACTGCAGCTGAATGGAGCTCAAGCACCAGCTAACTGTGACATAACTATGCAGGAGTGCACTGTGGATTTGAATGTGGTACGTTATATTCTTTTTCTAAGTTAAATAGTTTTTAAAAAACTTCTGAAAATGTAGTTTATTAGTTAATGTCTGATAAAAAAGCAAAGTGCAATCCTTAAGCTGATTTTGATTTGAAGGCCTTCTACAGAGTTTATTATTTCAAATTATATTAATCGTGGTTTCAAAGAGGGAAAAGTCATAGGGAATATAAAAAAGTTGTCTCAGTCATTAGAATAAAGCATAACAATTACATTAAAGAGAATGTAAAGTTTATTAAAAATGAATACAGAAAGACATAGTATTCCAAACTTTTAATTTGCTTCAAAGCTATAAAAGGCTAAGGCATGTTTTAGTTGTAAGGTTTTTGGAAAATGTTGCTTCAAATGACCAACAATATTATTATTATTATTATTGTTATTATTGTTATAAATATTATGATAATGATCATAATAATAAGTAGTAGTAGTAGTAGTAGTGTTATTAGAAGTAGTATATTCCTAGTATATTTTGTTTCAGATCAATGAGTTATAATTTCAAAATGCGGAACACGTAGAAAAGTCGTTTATGTCACATTGGCAAAAATTACCCTCGGGGAAATTTTACATTCATTTGCACAGACGATATTCTGTACAACTGAATAATGAGTGTTATTGATATTGTACGTTTACAATCTGCTGTAATGACATTTATTCTTCCTTTTATCAAGTGTACACTGAAGTGAAACCTTAAGCTTGCGTATCACCCTGGTGTACAGTATGTATAAAGTTGCTCTAGTGTCACTTTCACTCTCGATGCTACATTTATGGACTGTGCTCAGTGTGTATGTGAGCAAAGATGGCAAAGATAAAAATCAACAAATACCAGACTGTTGCAAAAAATAACTTGTCCTTTGAACGTATTGCTGTTTTCTTTTTCAACATGGGAATTGAAAAAAACTATATTAAATGATGTCTGATGTTAGAGAACAGCACCGAATGCTTTACTTACGGAAAATAATTTTCTAATTAACAATTTTTCCATCATAGTTAGAGATCAAACTGTGAAATGACTGAAGTTGTTTAAAATCGTGCCGCAGACAATTTCTGACTTCCGTTTGGAAAAGCAGCAATGCATTATAAATTCAAACATTTTCAAGATGACAGCCTTCTAGGCAGCTGGTAAACACACAGCAGCAACATTTTCATCTCTGGATTTTCAATTTTAGTTGCAAAATTCCAAATATTTCTGTTTGATATGCAGATATTTACATATTACACCCCTGCACACTTGCATTTGATGTCTGTCTCACCTAAATACAGCTTTATTGTTGTTGACTTTTAAACTTTACTCATGTTTTCTCGAGTGTACAGTCATTAGTCATGGTTTCAGACACTGTTAGGGCTTTGCGGCTTTTAGAGTGCACATGCACTGTGCGAATATCAAAAGTGTCATTTGGCAGAGTAAATTTTCACAAAGCGGCATGTTTGAGCCTGATAACACACATTGCTGTGATTGAGGAAAATCTCATTGCAGAAATATAGAAAATCTTTTACATTTTAGTCTTTGTGGAGCGTTAAAAAATTTTGAGCATTCACTTGCGTACTGGATGGGGAAAAAAATCGATATTAAATATTTTATAATTATTAAATCTCATGTGCAATGTGTCTTGACTCTCCCCATAAACAACACTAAATTTGGAGGCAGGGGGAAAAACTATTTAACCCACAGCAAACACATTTTTTTTCTGACACTGATTTCCATTCCATAGAAAGGCAACAGAGAAAAATGTTAACAGTGTACAATCATCTGATCACGTCTTGTGTTGTGGTTTTCTTTTTTCAGAACCTCGCCGATATTTCCAGAACGTTCAGAAATGATCCGAATCAACAACACCCAATACTTCCACTTTCTGCAACAGGCAGATGTCCTCCGTCAATCAGGGTCGCTTTGCGATGCCATCATCTCGGTGCAGAGCCAAACGTTTCGGGCGCACCGCTTAGTTCTAGCCTGTGCGAGTAGAGCGCTAGCGCAGCACCTAGCCAAAGGTGACACAGACAGCCCAGCCCATTGCACATTGGAGTATTTCTCTCCCCGCACCTTCCAGCAAGTTCTAGACTTCACCTACACTCAAGCTCTTGAAGTGCCAGTGAAAGACCTGCAGCAGCTGCTAAGAGCCGCCCAGGTCTTAGAAATGCAGCTACTGGAGGACCAGTGCCAAAAGCAGCTGGACCGTCTCGAAGCCAGAGAGGATAAAAACGGAGGAGCAGTAGACCTCACAGAGGAAGATAAAAGTGTAGAAGAGAAAGATCAAAAGCAAAAAGCTAGACCAGTTCCTGAGAACAAAGTCCAAAAAACATCCTCCCCGGTAGAAAAGCCTAGAAATGGCATCATCATGGAAAATGTTTCAATCGCTGATTCTACGGACGTCCCCACCAACCAAAAATCCCCAAGAAGGAAGGCAAAATTGTCCCCGACCCGGTGCAACAGAGATAGTGTCATTACCAGGCCCAACAGCAGCGGATCCTCTTTCTCTTCTGCATGGGCATTCCCTACAAACATGTGGGACAATGGGAATCACCTGAACACCCTAATGAGAATTGCAGGGAACTATTCTAACTTTTTTGGATCTCATCCCCTTCAGTCCCCCAACCAGACCTCTGTGGTATGCCCATTCCCCCTCTCTTCTCAACACATGTTCCCTTTACTTAGTTCCCATTTTCAAGCTCCCCTTCAAAGCACGGCACTAGGCTACTCACGTTTGCACCCCCATCCCTACGCTCAAAATCTGTACACGGAGACTTCGAGGATGGGCAGCATGATCAAGAACGGCATTTTGAAGAGAAACAAATTGAGCCACACTAGTCAAACTGTGGAAACAAGGTAAGACAGCCTTCTTACATAATTTTGGAAAGTTCAGTTTTTATTTTCTCACATTGTCTCCATGTTTTTCCTACTGAAGACTCATTTTAGAACCCCCTGACTTGCTCAGTTGTTCCTTTGTGACAGTTATTGTACTTGACTCACTGTTGCTTCAGTAGATGTGTGTGTGCACGCATGTCCGGGTGTGTGTGCGTGAGAGAGAGAGAGAGAGAGAGAGAGAGAGAGAGAGAGAGAGAGAGAGAGAGAGAGAGAGAGAGAGAGAGAGAGAGAGAGAGAGATTGAGCCTCCTGCACTTTGCTGCTCGATCGGTTTCACCTGTTAACCCTTCCCTGCCACATCAAATTTGTCGGTCTCTTTTAAGAAACTCGTGATCCAAGTTTAGACACGCACAAATAGTTTCATTGGTCCAAATCAGACATTTTCCAGTATTTTAGTCTGTTTTTTTTATTGACATTGAACTTTTTGATATTAGAAGAAAAGGAAGTCTGAGAATAGTTTTTAAAATTTCTTTTTTCACGCAAAAAAAAAAAAAAGCCAAATTCTTTCAAGTGTTTCACAACATAAAACCAAACTATGAATAAGGGGAAGCCCCCTACAGGTCTCCCTTTCTTAACAAAATTTAAGATTTTCCACCCACTGAAACGTATCTTCTTTGTTTCGCCTGGCCGTGTCTACACCACAGAAACACTGTTCAGAACCTAAACGAGACTATGTGTGGAACAGAAGATCTTTTATAGTGTCTCTTACTATCTTGTTCCCTGTAATCAAAATTTTCACCCAAGGCAAATATTACTGAAACCCTGAAGCGGTGCTATAAATATCCCATGGTTGGAATCAGTAGGGGAGGAAAAACCCAGTGAATTACATCTAAACTGATATTCTCTAATAAAAGAAAACTTTTTTTTTTCGCAGATTTTTGTCTTTTAGCACAAATGTGTGATTTGTACCATACCGTCTGCAGGACTCAAACAAACAAAATATGCTTCTCGCAGTTATCCCGAAATGTCGAAAGCGAAAGAAAGAGCTGACAGGTGCCAACACTGCAGTTCAAGACTCCTCTGTGATCCGTTGCTGCGGGAGTCGGCCGCCACACAATTAGGTAAGAACGTAATATATAATAATGCAACGAGAACATTCCTATCACTGAAGCTACAGGACGGTGGTAAAACAGGTCAATTTAACAAGATTGTAAAATACTTATTGGCGTGACCCTTAACCTCAGCAGGCTCCAGCAACGCAACTACGCAATGGAAAGTGATAGAGAGTTGTGGTTTTGAAAGCATGGTGCAATAGGAGCAGTAGTGTGGTTACTAGATACAGCTAGATATACACAGTACAGTACGTGCTGCAGCGAAAGCGTGGTTTGTCCTTAGACAAAAAAAAATATATGTGATGTTTGGATAACGTCTTCTGAAGTCAACAGCTCACATAGGATCTGCAAGGAAGCTTGTGCAAGTGCATGAGTGAAAGTGTACAATCTCGCTGATAAAGACTTTATCTGGTCTATGATGGAGCAGTATTTTAATTTTTCAGCAGCTGTGAAAAATTAAAAAAGAAGAAATGCTGCGCTGAAGCTAAGAAATGGAAGTTTAGACTTCTAAAAAATGTGTGTGTGTGTACATATATACAAGCATATATATATATACAAGCAGTGCAAAATGTTGGGTATTTTGAATCGAGACACAGAGCGAAGCATTGGACAGGAAACACGCAAGCAACTGACAGATTTCTGCAGGTTGTGTTTTTTAAAGTGGTAAGTGTTCAATTGTTGTGGTTTCTTCTCTCCTAATTTTTCCCCTCACTACAGTACACCCACTTCATATTTCAGCATCCTGTCAATAAGCTACAATTTCTGGGTACAATTTCTCTAAAAAAGACCCGACAACTATACAGGCCAGCAAGAGGCTGCACTTTTTTTTCTTTAACCTCAAAAATCACACCTTTTGTAAAAGATTTTTAAGAAGATATGCATGCAAAGTCGACAGGAAAGTATTCTTACACATGGTGAGTCTATTCTCTTGCAACAGGATGCGACAAAGAGATGCACTCTCTGAGAAAACGGTTGCAAAATCGCTTTTTAATAGCAGTCTTTTTTTTTGTTTTTGCTTCCAAAACAGTAAAAATATTTTTCCTGTTTGCTTAATAAGTGAGGTCAGAAAGCAATAATTACTTAGCTTTTATGTTTGTTGAAAAGGTACTCACGTTGAATTGACTAGGAATTAATTCCCGTTTACAGCACAGACTCAGTTAGGAGGCAGCATAATGGGCAGATGCAATAATCACTGATGAAAGACAATTTAAAACCTCAACACAGTGACATAAAATGAGAACGGCTGGAGGTGGTAAGATTATAAAAATAATCCTCTCTGTAAATAGATTGGTTAATTACGACGTTTTCAAATAAAATCCTATTTCTTATTTGAAGCCTGCAGTCCAGAAACACATCAAACCAGGTGCTAATTAGATTTCTGTTATTAGAAGCATTTATTAATCAACTGGTTTTATTCCAAATAAACAATGATTTGATTTGCTCTCTTTGATTGCCTGCTATATTTTGTTTAAAAAAATAATAACGTTATTAGCAATACCAATATTCATTAAAAACATCGAGTAATGTCTGAGGTGGTGCTTCCTGTTGCGCACTCTTGGCTTTGTGTGTAATATGCAGTTTTTGAAAAAATGGGTTTCACTGCTGACGAGCCTTAACACCTTTCAAACTGTCCTTTTGTCTGCCTATTTTGGTTTGCCGCAGGTCAAAACTGTGATGGATGTCAGTTCTGCGGAAGAGATGCTGTGCAACACGAAGCGAATGCTCGAGACCACAGAGGAGAAAAACCCTACCAGTGCAAACACTGTCCAAAGAAGTTTAGCCTCAAGCATCAGCTCGATACACATCACCGCGTTCATACGGGTAATTCTCTAATAATTGCTAACAGTTCAAAAACATACTTTGAGTCAGTACACCACTGAGGATCGAATGATTGTTTATTGTTCTGGTTGATTGGAGCCAAGCTTGCAACTCTTACAAATGCACATAGATTTATGTTTTTGTCATGTTTCAACCTAAAACATGGGTTTATTTTGAGCTGGGAGGGGTTTATTTGATAGATCGTTGTAAAGTGGTTAACTGTGAAGTGTAAAAGTAAGGTCAGTTACTCACTATTTCAACAAAAAAGAAAAAGTGAGATACACTTTGTAATCAATCTCTTTACTCTGACACCATAAAATAAAAGTCCAGGACTATCAACTGACCTCGAGTTCACCTTTCTAAAATTTATTATCAGTAAAAGAAAGATGTCCTGTTCAGGTCTCGGAGGTTTGTTAATGAACAAACAGCATCGTGAAGACCAGGACGCTGTTTTTTAAGTTGTTCTTTAAAATAGTTTCTTCATATTTGTATTTGTCTGATTACATCATTTTAACAAATTAAATCAGATATCACAAATAGTTACTCAGTGCTTTAGTAGAATTATCACCAAATACGCTGTGCAGGACTTCCCCCCTGACTGGAGTAAAAATATGTTGAAATAATGTTATTCATTCTTTCGTACAACTGTTAACTACTCTCCTGACCTCTTTCTACCCAACAAAATCCCAATAAAACACACAGATTTTGTGGTTGTAACGTGACAACATTTTTTAAAATGTCCTACGGCTAAGAAATACTTTTGTGACATACTATATGTTTGAGTACTTTAAAGTTGGGGAGTTATTATTGTATTGTATTAGTAAAAGAAATTATGGTAAAGTATGTAGTGATTCAAATATTTACTCTGTGGCACCTTGTTTAAAATGCCTCTTATAAATTTCTGTTTTTCCAAAGTGTTGAACATTTTCTGAAGAACACTGTAATAGTTGTTTTCCAACCAGCTCATAGTTTTCCACTCATTTTAATGTCACAGAAAACCTAACAGAAAAACTGAAACTGACAGATCTCAATCTTCCATGAGTAGGAGACGTGTTAATCAACAGTGTATATTAGGACTGCTTTTATTTAAAAAAAGCAGTATATTATATATATATTCTGTTTTTCCAAAACATTTTCTGAAGATATATATATATATATATATATAGCAACCATAACCATGTTTTCATATATATATATATATATATAAATATATATATATATATATATATATGAAAACATAGCAACCTGGCTTAAAGTGACTACCACTCCACATAAATTAAGAACAAAACTTAAGGAATCTGAAACATTCAAATGTTTCACAATTTCATTTTTATCCACATCTAGACATTAGTAGCAAATGGTTAGCCAATACATCTGCTTTGACTAAGTGGAACAATGGCATGAAGTCAAGTTATGCAAACCTGGATGATTAGCATAAAAGTGTCCCAGTTTAGGTGATTTCACGCACTAACGCAATTCATTTCTGAAAAATAAAATTACGGAAGTGATGCATACTCTCATTCACAGCAACAACAGACTAAAAAGCTCATATGCTGGAATATAAATGTGAGACCCTTTGTTGATGCTCATAGTTTGCACCTCCCCTACCTCCAAACACCTTAAATGTCTTCCTTCCTGTGCATTGTCTTTGCTTCAAGGAGAGAAGCCGTTTGAGTGTCGCCTCTGTGGTCAGCGCTCACGGGACTACTCTGCCATGATCAAACACCTCAGGACCCACGGAGGCGCAGCGCCCTACCAGTGCACCGTGTGCCTGGAGTTCTGCAGCAGCCTGGTCGCCATGCAGAGGCACGTCAAGAGCCACGCTGTGCAGGACTTCCCCCCTGACTGGAGCATCAATAACACCTACTTGTACATCTCCCACATTTGAGGCCATCCTCATGAGCTGTAGCTTCAGTTGGTGAAATTCCTGTGAGGCTGATTAATTTAAGTTGAATTTACAGTACGGCAGTGACACTCACAGCTAAAGATCTGCTTAACCCGTACAAAAGTGAATGCTGAATAAAAACATTTCTCTAATTTGTGATTCAAGGTCAAACCTGACTTTCATGGGTGTAATATCTATGCAAAATGAAACTGTTCTCTATTTGCATTTGCAATAATCGGAAATACAGATGCAGTACTATTTCCAGTGACATTAAAGGTTTTGAAAGTGTTTACCAGGCATTAAAGCCACATCAGCATCTAATCCTCGATGCATGACGCAGGAATCCTCCCTCTGACTTTCAAAATTATTATTGGACTGCTTGCGCAAGCTTTGCAGCTTTTACCTGGGTCCACAGCGCCCTCAAGAGGACACGCAGAGAAAACAAAAATCAGCATTTTCTTGTGTTGGGGCTTTAAATGCCTTGCTTGAAAGAACACAGGAAATATCAGAATCAGCCCTATTGTCACTGCTCAGTAAAAATAAAACAGAAAAATTTATTTAGTTAAAATCATATCATATTCACATATGCATGCTGACCTACAAATACACTTACCTATCCATCCATGTTACATCCTCTAGCCAAGCGACTTTTTAATCCTCAGTTAAGAGACACAACTGTAGTCTACCTGGAGCCTTGGCACTATTTATGTTTCTTAATATAAAGTACATAATTAATATAAAGTTATTTGCCCATGTGTCTAATAAATAACCTCATTAGTGACGTTCTTTTGTTTTCTGTTATTGCCAAATGCATGGATATCAATTCACTTACTTCACATCCTTTAGATTAAATAGCACTCAGTAGATTAAATGCTTTTTACAAAAGCTACACTTGCGGCATACAACTGATGTTTTCTCAGTAATTTATGTTTGCGATATGTAACATTATAAGATGCTTCCTCCAGGGAGCTTTTTGGACAGCTTACAGGCCTGCTACCACTTATGGATAAGTGTGGATTTCAACAGCATTATCATAATAAGTATGAAAAAGAATATAGTTAAATGTTTATTTCTTTCGCCAGCTAAGCATTTACTAGATAAATGTGCCATGTTACTACTTCACCAAATAAATAAGTTTGAAAGTAAAGAGTTTTGTCTGCAATTCTTTTAATTTATCCACTTAGAAAGAACAGTATTTTCTTCTGTTTTGGTTTTTTCTGTCTACTTAATCATGTCCTCTGCATGTCTAAAGACCTCTTTTAGGTCTTTAGATTTTGGTCTTCTTCCTGCCCGGTGTCTTCAACCACGGCATCTTTCTACTAATATACAAAGAAGACTCTGCGTCCATAAAATATAAAGGACTGGGAAGTTTAGGTGTCATTTCTGTTGGAAAATTCTTTTTAAATACTTATCGGTGTCGTTATTTAAATGATACTTTTTGGTTTTCCTCTCATCAGACGAATCACTTGCAATGCGTCAGATACGTTCTTCAGGACATCAAAAGCTATTTTGCTTATTTGTGGTGAGCTAGTTAAATAGCATAGAAATGCTTGATGTCTTTATCAGCCTCTTATGCTTGTGGTGGCGGTGAGATGTTCTCAGAAACTAGGGGGGGTTTGTGCGAGAGGATGTGTGTGGCTGAGTGTGTATTTGTTTATGCAGTGTGTCTAGGACCTTTACTACCATTTGCATTTACTGACTGTCGAACAGCTAGTGGGGGTCGAAGCCTGATTCCAGTGTGACAGCCAATGATTTTTTTAAAGAATAGGGTTGGTTTCATGTCACAATGACACTCCTCTGAATCAGTCCAGTGATTAAGAGTTCAGCGTAGGCAGACAAAAGCATATGGTGACACATATCACTCAAAGCCTATCTCCATTGTATTAATCTTCTTGATGTGATCCTTGGCATCAACAGCTGCAGTTAAACTTCTCCACAACTGTCTCCCTGATCTCACTACTGCCTTCTTTGGTGTCTATGATCTTATTTGTTCACTAAAGCTCTGTAACAAATCACGGAGGCCTTCATAGAAGGGATGTGTTTATACTAACAGTCAATTTTACAGATGGACTCCATTCACCAGCTACTCTATTCACTTAGTTGTTTGCACTGGAAGTTTAATCCAGGGTATCAGAGGGAAAAGAGCTAAATGCAAAAAGCACACCACACTTCCCAGATTTTTATTTGTAACAAAATGTTTAATTTACAATTATTGTTATTCAGGAGATTACTGGCAAAGGAGACTCCATTTTAACTCTGTGTGTCATGTCTTGTCTTCAGACAAGAAGACCTCCCAGTCTTCCCTCCCAGAAGGCTGGGAGGGAAGTCTTCTGGGAGGACTGGGAGGGAAGACTGACCAGCTGCAGCCTGTGGCGAGCCAGCAGCAGAACCCGGTATGTAAGAAGCACCACTGTAGTAGCCTGCTGGAACAGAACCTGTGGCGTATCCAGCAGCAGGCTCGGCGCTCATACCGACAAACACAGGCTGCACAGATTGTCAGACTGTCAGACAAGTTCTAGTTGTAATTACTCTGCTCTTCAGGTCTGGAACTTATTATGCAGGGGTGAAATTAAACTTAACTGTTTAGACAATGTGTTTAATCACAAGAAATGTCTTATTTTACAAGCGAGAATATTACTTTCTTCAAAGGGTCAGGTTGATTTGGTTAGCTTTGCATGCTATGACTGCATTTATCTTTAAAAATAAAATGTTTTTGTTTCTCTAAAATATTTTAAGTGTCACAAAAAAAAAACAATTTTTATCTTGAAAAGTAATTTTAAAAAATCTGACTGATAAAATTGAAAATTAAAGTCTAGTCTCTCTGCAAAGCTGATGGTTTGCTACAGTTTGCACATCTAGAATTAGTGTTTTTTTACGCATGTTCAATAAGTTCTATCATAAACTGCATCTAAAACACAGCACATAAACTTGAACTAACTTTAGTTTGAATGAATGCGTAAATGTAGTTAGCTTCCAAAAAGACGAAAAAGGGGATGGAAACGCAGTCAATTTGTTAATATAATATTTTATTCATGCTTTTACCTTTTATTTTTCTTTTGTTACATGCCAATATTGAGTTTCCATTAATAAAAGGGTCTTTGCATATTTAAAGTTAGGAAGGGGACTTCAACAGTCCTGTAAAACATTCTATCATAGCATCTGCTCAGCACTTTCAGTACCTTCTGACGTTCTTTCCTCCTGAATGTCACCTATGGTAAACCGAATGTTAGACGGAGACTTGTCTTTGTCTTCTGCAGCTGTTCCCTCTGCCCAAGCATCCCACTCCCCGTAGGTGGTGTGGCTTTGGACTTTGCACCCTGCCAGAACCATCAGCTGGTGTGCTTGGTTGGCACTGCAGTTTGGAAGCGGTACCTTGTATGTGGTGTGGAACCTACGCAGATCCACTCGAAATGAGCCTTTCTCCAGCATCATGCAGGGTTCGAAGCGAGCGCCCCACTCAATCTCTGTTTCTATGTAAGATGTTTTGGCTTGGCACATCATTCCTGTAAAAAAAAAAAAAAAGAAAAGAAAAAAGAGACAATAAGAGAAGAAAGAAAAAGAAAGGAGTGCAATTCACATTGTGTTCCACAAGATGTCGCTATGTGTTTGCATTTCACTGCACCGTTCTTTGTGTAAACATCATGACATTCCGTCCTATTACTACTATGCAATAACATTTTATACTTTGAATGTATAGTACTTTCTGTAACCGCCCGTGACAGAAACCTGTGGTGAAATCTCCAAAAAACATGAAGACCAGACTGAAGTTTGTCTGACAGAACAAGACAAAGACTTCTGGAATCATGTTCATTGGACAAATTACTCTAAAATTTTATTATTTGGATATAGGAACAGAGGGCATGTCTAATGAAACCAAATTATAATTTTCTTCCAAGAAAAAACCGTCTTGTCAATACTGAACTGAAAGTCTATGGGTTTTAGAAAGAGCTGGCCAGCTCAACATGCCAAAATCAATAGTGAATTACAAATATCAAGAGGGTGCTCGAGAAAAATGAGAATTTGTGTTAAGCAAAATCTAGATGAATAAGGCAGAACTGGATCCTGAAACGAACCAGTGAACCCACCGAGTACTGGCTGAGAAATAAGAATCCTCTGGTTCTGGGGCTATTGCTAAAGCTCACACCATCCCATGCTTTGAGGACTGGAGCTACATTATAAACTAGTAAAAGACTACAAGAAGCATCACAGTGATATTATTTAAACCAAATGGGTAACTACAGTACTTCAGAGGTCTGGTGGTTGAACTTTTTCCCTGTTAGAAAATGCAATTTGTTTACATATTTTATTTAATGAGTAACAAACGGCTCATATTTTTGCTCACATTTAAATCGCTTTATTTTTTAGATAAAAGTTATTTAAAATAGAAAAAAAAAACCTAACTTAAAATTATCCTAATTTAAAATGATCAAAGAAATTGTCAGGTTAATGTGTTTCAGAAACGTTCCTAAGCATGTGACATTTGAAACTGTTGTTATTCATTTTTTGTCTGAAATAATCAAAGCACTGGGAATCCATGTCTGGAAGTCACCCACATTTTTGTAGATTTGCGAGATCCAAGATAAATAGCTGCAGTCTGTGCAGACTCTCACTTTCAGCTTTCAGCTCCAGCAGCTGTAAAAGTCCCGCAAAAATTAAACTAAGAACAGACAGCTTAAATTGATGAAAGACTATTTTTATTGAAAGAGACACATTGTTTGTTTTGGGGGGTTTTTTGGACACAGAGCAGATACATAAATCAGACCCACCCAAGAATCTGGCCACAGTGTTATTTGGTTTTGGTCAATGGGTCCATAGAATCATCATTGTCCTCATGAGAGTTCAGAAATTTTAATCCCAGAGTCATTTTGCATCTCACTGGAGAAAATATCTCTTTTCACATTATCCAGACTCTTGTAATAGACTAGACATTCAATTTGACTGTAACAATGATAATAATGCCTTGTTAAATTATTTCCTCTAACCTCTTCACTTTTTGTAACTTCATATTGTGACTATGATTTATTTTGTAAAGCCTTTATGACACACCAGTGCATGAGATCGATGTAATGGGTTTCAGCAGGTTTCAGCATTTCTTTAGAATGACAATCTTTAAAGTGTGGCATGCACATGATGAATTTGTCATTCTTTACTCTGGTAGCCCTAAACAAAAATGTAGAGCAATCGAAAGCCTTTATGAAATTTAGAATTATTTGAATAGCTTAGTAATAAAACAGGTGAGTCTTTATATAAGCTCTAATAGCCTACTAAGGCAAACAAATGCTGGGAATGTTAAGATTCTACTCTATCTGCACTTTCTCTGGAGTTAATTGTTACCAACCTGTGGCCTCGACTATCCCCTCCAATATAACAATTATCTCAAACTGCTGCCGTCGGAGTTGCTCGGGCCCCAGGTCCCACAGCGGGCTGCTTGCGCCGATATTATGCTGAATGACTTGAGGTTCAACCAGGAAGAGGCGATCTGATCCAGTTTCATATCCGAGGTCAATCTCTGTCTGCTCCAGGGGTAGAAATTCCCCCTCGGCTGTCTGCCGGGACTTGATTAACTTTGCTCGGACCTTTGCGTCCACCATGTGGCTCTCGCGCAGGTCTCCCAGGCGAAACATCAGGCACAGCTGGTCGTCGCGGTTCGCAATGACGCACGTGCGGCTGAAAAGAAGCGTCTCGGCTCGCTTTTTGGGACGAGATATTTTCACAAACATGCAGCCCACCATGAGGGCATCGATCATGGAGCCCACGATGCACTGCATCATGACCAGTAGCACACCTTCGTGGCAGGTGGGGGAAACAGTCCGTGAGCCATAACCAATGGTGCGCTGCGTCTCCACGGAGAACAGAAGAGCCGATACGAAGCCATCGATTCCCAAATAGCAGTGACTTTGGTCTACATACTGGTCCCGAGTTGTGCCAAGAGGTTGTTCTTGACCGAGGTCACCCCGAATGGATGCATTGACATAGTAAAGGCCAGCGAATAGGAACCAGGTTGTAATATAGCACATCATAAAAACAAATAGAAACCAGCGGTACTGGAGGTCCACAAAAGAGGTAAAGATGTCAGAAAGAAAACGCCCCCTTTCATCAATGTGGCCTAGATTGACTCTGCACTTTCCATCCTTGGACACGTAGCGAAGTTGCTCTCTGGTTTCTGCAGGAAGTCTGGGTGTCTGGTTGCTTTCACTCTCTAGGAGTTTACTTCGAGCCTTTGCAAGCCTCTCCATTTCCCTTCCAGGGCTCGATACGTTGCTGTGTGCTGGTGAGAGTGGGCTGGTGTGGAGAGGGCTGCTGTGGGTGAAATGAAGGGGACTGGAGGAGCCCATGTTGGGGACACTGAGGGCATGACGACGGAAGTGTGAGACATTGTTGGTCTCGCTCACTGAACAGCGGCGCCAGATGTTCTGCTCTTTATCTATGACTCCTGGGGTGCAGGGAGGCAGCAAGCAAAAACTCCCTCGATAAGGGATATCCGTTGTGCTTTTGTAGCGTTTTCTAGTTGGTGCAAAATTAGTAGAAGTCTCTGCCTCGGGGTCAGCAAGTGCAGATTTGTCAGGCTTCGTCTAAGGAAGGAAACACAAATATAGGTTTTCTGCTGAAACTACAGCCAAGTTATGGAGTGCATTTCAGTTCAACGCACGACAGTGCCTCTAACTTTCCCTGGAAAGTTAGAGGTCTACATACCGGTAGACCTCTAACTACTGGTATGTAGACTCTATGAACTTTAGAGGCAGACTTCCTGTTTTCTTTGCACACAGCAGGGAAGAGTATCAAAGCTCCAGTATTCCCTGCACATTCAGATTTAAAGCAGCTTTGTTGCTGTGCATGTTTTTTTTCTTTCCTTTGCCATTTTATGCATGCATTTTTTTTGTTTTGTTTCTAAGTACAAAAATAAACTTTCTCTCTCAAGAAAGCTTAAGTGGTTAAACTTCCTTGCCATCAAATTTCTAAGAGCAATTACTGTTTGAGAAAATCTTTTAAAAACACAATTACTAAGGAAAAAAATCCAGAAAAAAAAATTGTCGAAAAGTTTGACACAATTTGAAGAGTTTTTTGGGGGGGTTTCCTGTCAATTTTCAAAGTTCAAACTACTTTCTTCTGCAAAACAGAGAATAATGTTGTGAGGGAGATTTGAGTGATCTTCATAAAATTGTGTAATGCCTTACACAGTATTTTTCACAGAACTAACATTAAAGGACATCTGTTTGTGTCGACCATGAAAAGGTCATGGAGACCTAATGTCCTGCCCAGGAACTGGACAGGACATTCTTTAAGACAGAGTGTTCCTTGAAGATGATAAAACTGTTCATGTTTTTGTACTTTTAAAGATGTTTCAGAGCCTCTCCTTGACTCCCTTCCCCTGTTCAAAGTACAAAACTCTTCTTTTGCCAGTAAGTGAATGAGTCTCTCCAAACTCTATGGAAATCTCACCGTCATTAATTGATTAAATATTTCCACCACAATTTTTTTATTGTTTTCATCTCTTATTCGTATATATGCTCTTTCAATGTAAACATTTGATCACTAGAAAATCTTGGAACAATGCATGAGTGATTTTACCTTTGACTTGATTAAATAAAGTCAGATACAAACTATTTGTCATTTTTGGGTTTTGTAATTTAACAAACTACTTGACCAAAAGGTGAAGTAAGCTGGTTCAGCTTCATAAATACATGGTTTATTTATAGGCTACGTAATGCCAGTAGGTTGAGACAAATTGACAACCCACAAGTATAAATCGGTGAAAGATGGAAAACGTGTGCACATTTTCAATCACTTGTGTAGTTTCATTACTTTTTATATTATATTATTATATATGCAGCATGTACCACAAATATGTGTATCTTATTTAAGATATGACAACACTCGTAAGATTAAAGCCAGAACTACACTAATTCAAACTTCAAAGATCAACAAAACAAAAATTAGCAAAAGAATACTGCTTACATTTATGAAGTAGCTCTCGCAATGAATTTTTTCCCCTGTTGGCGTGGAATGGACCACCATGATAGACTGTGGGTGACTAGTTGTAGAGGCTTGTTGTCCTTTCATCTGGGCCTGCGTCGATCCACAGCACTGTGTGGTCTCCACATTGCTGTCTTCTCTTGCGCCAGGATGCATCACAGAAACGGGATGAAAATGAACACTAGCAGCAAAGTATGATCATGATGATGTCTTTGTCAAATGACAATTAGGTTCCAGCATCCTGACCAACACCAGAAACTACATCTGAGCTTCTTAAAAGCGACCCAAACACAAGTTTAGCAATTATAAATCCCATCTGAGATGAACTGACTAAAGTCTGCGTACCTTTAGTGACAATGAGCCGCCACCAGTTGGAGGAAAGGCTTTACAGATATATCTTGTCGAGCTAGAGTTAAGCTCCTGCTTTATGCTGCCTCAGCAGTACTCTCACTGTATCCCTCAGAGTAGATCATCTATCCTTAGATTATACAACATCTATGCAGGACAGGCCTGTGGTTATTGAACTGGCAGCTACAAGAACAACTTAACTTTAAGCAAGAAAATCGAGACAATTTCTCAATTTATTCTAGCTTGTGAGAAAACAGGCCAGTAGAGTGATATCCAAAACAACCACGTTTTATGCACAGTCACACCACCACATCCCACAGAACACACAGTTACTTTCCACTTTCTGAGAGCAGTAAAACAGGCCTAAAAGGATTTTATTAACATCATTCCCAAAGCTACAACCTTGATGTATTACCCTTTTAAGCTGTCTTTTGGTCACAAACGTTCTTCTCAGTATGTTCTCTTTACTCAGACAAGCCCTATGCTTTCACAGACAGATGAGCAAAGTTAATCATACCTGTGAACATACTTATGAACATGCTTTTTGTATCATTTTAAATGATAATGATATAATAGTGTATTTTTGCGATGGAAATATTGGTCAAAAAACGTCAAGAAAAAGTTTTGATTCCACATGATCTGGATAAGTAAGCTCAAAGTTGCAAGTTCTCCTAATTCAAACCAGGAGGCAGAATTGATTTAAGGTAAAAGGTAAACTTCTTTGGCTGCCTCTTTATGTAAATAAATGTGGTAGTAATGACTTTAAGTTTCACTGCCTGCGTTGTTTAATCGTTGAAGGATTTAATGAACATAAAATTTCTTTTAAATGATTGGCCTTTTCTTCTGTTGAATCAGGTGATCAAGCAAAACACTTCCAGTAAACAGCAACTTGGTTTTTCCCAGTATAAGGTGATTTTATTACACTGGACCACAGCCTAAAATTAGACCGACCACCTTGGGGTTTTTTCCCCAGCAGAAACTCGCCACAGTTTCTGCTGGAAACCTTTACAAACCATCTTTATATTATACCCTTCTCAGAAATATAGGTCCAATACAAAATAAACAGAACCGTTCACTAGGTAGCTAGTCAGCAAAATGTAACTTATGCAGCTTTTCACAGAAAAACTGATAAAGTGCTTCATAAAGTAGGAGCATAAAACTGATGAAACAAGCAAATAAATCTTTTTAATGACACATATAATTAAAAATATCTAAAATGTTTATCGCATTTTTTATAAGAATGTCTTCAGCTACTTTGTGAATGAGTCAAGACAATCAAGATGTCAAAACAAAGAAAAATGATCAGATTGGAATAAGAATACTAATCCTCTGCAATTATGTATGTTGTATGCTAATTTCTTTTTCTTTTAGATTTGCCAGGAAAAAAAAAAAAAACGATCATCAATAAAAGTTTGCCTCTAAAAATGGGTCACCCACTAATGAGCAGCGTTCAGCCAATAAAATCTAATTTGATCCCATGACAGAGGGCTAGCTGTCTAGTGCAGATGTTATGACGCACCTTTGGCTCAGTCCAACGCAGTGGTATCGAATGATCCAAGGAATGTGACTTAACTAAAAGTTTGTCTTGATCGAGTTGGCTCAAGGTCACTACATTTGCTGTAAAATTTCGCTCGTTTTTTAACCTCGACTTAGTTGTCAATGGGCTTTAACATGTTTTATCTTTTCGTTTAAACTTTTTTTTATTATTATTATTTTGACTTTAAACACTTTGCTGCAAAGAAAAAAAAGCTGTTTTTTTCTCTACATGTGACAACAAGGATGGTTACTGTGGAACAAAGCTCTCAGTTTCATAAGAAAAAAAAATGTGTGGGTAGAACTGAAACTTGTCTAATTATACCGATTCTGACAGGAAAAGTGATGGTTTAAATGCAAATCAAACTGTCAGCGAACAAAATGTCAGAAGCTTGTGGACTCAAAATGCTTGACCCTGACATATACATTAAAAATGGTAGCAATATAGTATCATTCTTCCTTTTAGCGAATAGAAACAACTTTGGTAGTCTTAATCGACCTGAGATGAGAACTGAATTTCCAACAGTGGGGGAAAGGGCGTCTGTTTACATATTGTTAGTGAACATCTGGCTTCAACCTGGTGAGGACTCTCGCGCAGGAGGAAGTCTGACGGCCCTCTATGGGCACAAAGGACAGCGTTACCATAAGCTCCGCCTTCGACTATAAAAGATTACGTCTCATGACATCATGTGAAACAGAGTGCAGAACATGGGACTCTCGGACTTATGCGAGGATCTAACAACCTACTGGGACAAAACAAAGAGACAATGTGACCCGTGTCCAAAAAAAGCTGGTATGCATAAATTATATTATATTATATTATATTATATTATATTATATTATATTATATTATATTATATTATATTATATTATATTATATTATATTATATTATGCAGGATGTGAAGTTGTACCTAATTGTGGACGTGATGATGACGGTGGGGTCCACTACGACCCTCACAAGAAATGCAAATCCAACACTTTTAACGACGGCAGCCAGTATTACTGTCTACCATGTTCTACGTGTCTTCCTGGCTCTTCTGTACTGAAGAACTGCACTTCAATATCCAACACTGTTTGTCAGAAAATAAGGTAAGAAAACTGCGATTAACAGAGCCTATTTGCATTTTTTTTGTGCTTGGATTGCGATCGTCTGTTTGGTCGGTGTGAAACTTGCTCCAGAGTGAATAGAAGCTTCTCTGTTCTTTTTTTCTTTTCTTTTTTTTTTTGGTCTTCCTTTGCTTCTGCATTACTGAAGAAATGAGTCAACAACAACAACAACCAATGCCCTCCCCGTAAGTCCGTCATCTTCGGTTCACTTTGACTTACTTTATCTCTATCGTGCATCACATCGACGTTTGCTTCTTCCTCAGAAGTCAACCACCCATGCAGCAAAATCATTCAGGACTGAGCCGACGGTAACTTTTTCCGATCGTCACTTGGTGTGCAGCTTATCTTGGTTTCTGCAGGAAATACATAGGAAATATGCCCACATTTGAAAAAAAAATCCCCAGAGACATGACTGTCGTGAAGTTTATTTAGGTTTAGGTTCCATGAAATGTGTGTGTGTGTGTGTGTGTATGTGTATATATATATATATATATATATATATATATATATATATATATATATATATATATATATATATATATATATATATATATATATATGCTTCTAGGTTATAAGATAATAATGAAATCGAGAAAAGAAAACATTATCTCAAAATGTTTTATGGTATATTCTATTTAAACATGAAGTAAAAACTTAAAGGAAAGCTTGCCATTTGTCATCTTTTTACAAAAGCGGAGGAAAAGCAGCCCAAAAATGTTTTGTTGATGAACGCAGTCATTGTGTCTGAGAGTTGCTTCACGTGTTGCACAAAGTTGTCCAACGTTTGGAAACTGTAAATATTTCATAGCTCCCTTGCTTGAGAAACAAGGTTTTTTAAATCCTCCAACTAAGAAGTAGGAATAGATAAGTTTACTCCTGCACACATTTTTAATGAGTTTTTCCTTCTCTACAATCTCCTTTTTGTCGTCAGCGACCTTCTAAGCAATGCCAAAAGCTTCACTATTGCTCTCAGAAAGGAATGTACTCTAAACTAGAAACATCTGCAGACAGGAAGGAGGAACTTATCAGATTACTCTGAATCCCACCTTAGATGAAATCCAACAGTCATTACTGTTGGATTTTCTTGTTTTCTATTTAGTTATGGCAACTACGAAATAACGATTTGCCTTGTGCGGACATAATGTAGCAATGGTTATTTTGGTGATGTTGAAAACTTCTCTTTCTCCTTTTTTTCAGATTCAAAGATACATACCTACTTCATCGAGTTCGCAGCATGCAGCTCTGTGTGAGTGTCATGAACTGGAGTCTAAAAAATCCCATTTTCTGTTGCCAAAATGTGACTTAAATCCTCTCTGTTATTCTTTCAAGGGACTATACCAATAATAATAATTGTTCTCATCTTCCTGTCGGCTGCTCTTTGCGCTTTGATGATGAGAAAAAGAAGAGGTATGCAATGCGAGTTACTAACTTTCTTCATGGATACTCCTAGATATTTGGGTTTTTATTGACTTTTGGCTTTTTCAACCAGGGTGGAATAAAAATGCATCAAAAATCACATGTACGGGGTCCATTATGAACATACCCAGTTACTCATATTTGGACAAATCTTCCTTTTCAAGTTGAAGCTCAATCAGATTTTCGCGGAAAATACCCAAGGCTCACTTTGCGAATTTGTGTGCTTGTTTTTGGCTGAATTGATGCTTTGTTTGAACTGGCTGTAGCCTCTCAGCCATTTAAACCAGGAATCCTCTGCCAATATATTAACATTTCATTGCTTGAATGAAACTGTCAGGAAATGTGACAGTTTCATAAACCCTTGTGGTAAATTAAAAATGGGAACTGAATTACCACATTCTTTTTCTTTCCAGTCACCTTTTTAGGTGGGAAGTGATTAATATTCTGCCAACATGACGCAAATCTTTCACAGCAGTGCTTCCAGAAATGTCCCAGTGTTTAACAACTGAACGCCATTGTTCCAACTAGCTCTGAAGCTTCTTGAATTGAATTATTGTAATAAACAAAAGGAAAAACAAAACAGAACAAAATAAAACTTTGTGAATAATGAAAATGGCTTTTCAAGCTTTTAACCCTAATAATTACACTCATAACTACATCATAGCTTACAGTAAGAGGCTGTGTCTCATTGTATCTCAGTGCCGTTCACGACATCTGAAGCATCATGCGCATCACTGGTGTTGCAAAACAGTGTTTCAATAAACTGTAGAACTTTTTTAGTGTTGAAAGCTTCAGCCTTGACCATCCTCATCTATGCTTCCTAAAAAGCTGCCTGGAGATACGTTTTATAGTCAGGCATGACAAAGACTGAGCTATTTGGCCACAATGAATTTCAGGCTTTCAAACATAGGAACACAGACCCAGAGGTCATGCATGATGGTGGCTGTATCATGCTGAGGGTTGGTTTTGTAGCGCTGGTGCACTGCACAAAGTAATTAGAATAATGATTTTTTTTTTTTTTTTAAGAATACGAGTATTTACGAGTGACTATGACTCAGGAGAAAGGTGTTTGTTGGTGACTGGTTTTTGACAACTACAAAAAAAAAGGAAAAAAAAGACCGGTAAAGAATAAGCCAAAAGTCTGAAAATGATACAAATATGAACCTCTTCTCGAAAATGTTGGTTTTGTAAATCCCCATACTTAAAATCCAGCATTACAAAAAATAAACCACTTCTCTCCTTGCTGTCCACAGGTGTGTGTAAAAAAGCGTTCTATATGAGAAGGACATCGTATCAGAATGAAGGATTTTCCCCCATCCAAGCAGAGAGAAGCAGCGAAGTGCTGTATGACATGCTCAGTGAGTGAAAATGTTTCCAGATGTGTTGCATCTGGAAACATTTGCAACACAAATGTTTCCAGATCCATGTGCTTACAATCACGCACATGGACGGCCTTTTACACACACACACACACACGCACACGCACACACACGCATACAAACACAACAAGAGTTTAATAAAAAAAAAACCCTGTTGAGAACATACCATCACAACCAAATAGTCATAGTTTGCCAAAACCTTCTGTTTTGTTTTGTTTTTCTTCTTCTTTGTAGATGCCAATATCCTATCAGCCCCTTTACACAAAGTTCTGGACGATCTCGATGTTTTGGAGGAGTTGGTGATTCTGCTGGATCCAGACACGCAGGGCATAAAGAGCACAAAGCATCTGGCGTCTCTCTGTTCCTTCCCTTCCACCTGGATCACCTACACTTACTCCATGAAGGATACTAAAAGCCCCCTGAAAGCTGTGTTGGAGGGGGTCACCAGCAAGCAGCCTGACTGGACTGTGGGCCACCTGGCCAAGCTGCTCAGACAAATGAATCGCAATGACGCCATCAGTGTTCTGGCTAAACTCAGGCCTGTTCCAAACACTTCACACGAGTGACATTTTCTTTGTCCTTCTAAACAGAGTTGACTGTGTTCTTTAACATGACAAATCTTCCTGTCATTGAGTTATTTTGAGAAGAACAACTCCTACCCATGTGCGTCAGATATGGGTTGTAGAAAAGTCCAGACTGTATTCTAGAGAAGTCTATTTCTGAAAATGTTTTTGTATTTGTTTGTATTTTTATACATTTATGCTTGACTGTTACTTTTATACTGAGAATTATTTTATACTGAAAGGCACATGTGGAGTCATTTAAATAAATAAAAAAAAGTATAACAATGTACCATTTTCACTCCATTACCTGTATGTTTTTGCAGCATCATAATGACGTGTTACAATAAACAATTAAAATATGTTCAAACATCTTAACATCTTTATTAAGCAAGTAACATTATAAATAAAAAAGTGCATAGAAAATTAAACAGGTTTAGAAATGTATATACAAATATTTACAAACTCAGGGTTTATTTGTACATGGTAACAAAGACGTAAATTTAAAGAGGACATTTTTTTCATTTGTCTTTTACACTTTAAAATAACCCTATTTTATATATTTATCATATATAAGTATATTTATATATATATATTTATATAGGTGTGTATATATAACATACAGCTTTCTTAACAGATCCTGGGAGAGATGGTCATAACTTCTGCATTTAACTCGTGCTTCTGCAGCCTTCATTCCATGCACACAGAAAAAAAAAAGAAGAAAAACACAGTATATACACACACACGCACATACAAGATTATTAAAATCGAGCTTTTTCGTTTATGAATCAAAGTCTCTTTTTGCATCAGTATTCCCAAACATCTGTTTAAGCAGCTGAGGTAGAAATCCTTGCAAGGAGTTAGGACTGACTCTGCTCATCTGGGTTCCCCACCCAGCATCGGTCATGCCAATGAGAAAATGAGAAAACATGATAGAAATTTGCTCCTTTTAGTCTCTAAAACAGAAAAGGTGGAGAAAGAAGATTGGGATTCCAACAGGCAAACAGTGCTCACTTTTAACTCTGGCTGATACTAAGATAGGCAGTATTCTACAATAAAAAAAAATAAAATGAATAAAAATGGTTCTTTAAAAAAAAGAAAGAGCTGTTTCAGGAAGTCATAAAAGGCCTAAATGTATGACACAATTGCCTGAAATGAAAATTCAAGTAAATAAATGAAACAAAGGACATCATCTGTAAACAAACAAACAAAATATATATATATATACGAAAGAGGGAGAACTCTATCAGTACACTTGACCGCCACCGCTTTATACACAGCACAACCTTTCACCATTAAAAACACAAATCAAAACGTGAATAAATACGATTAACAAGCGAAACAGCGTGATTTAGTTTTAGCCTAGTCATTAACAGCACTGAACATCAACTTACAACATTGAACAGTTTTTTTTCTTTTTCAATTTTAAAGGTGCCGAATGCCCCCCCACCCCACCACCCACCAGCTCCGCGCCGACCGACTGACCGGAGCCGAACGCACGCGCTCAGTAGCAATGCTTTTATCCCCAGTGCTCTCATCGACTTCTAGACAAACTGTAGCAGGTCTCCGAAAGAAGAAGGTGATGTCTTGATGGTGATGTTTATTCGTGTGCAAGCGCCGGGCTGCCAAGTCTTTATTGCAGTAGGACCAGAGGAAAAACAAAAGAGCTTCAGATAAAGAATAAAAGAGAATAAAATATATACTTTAAAAAAGTTCTTCCCTCTACAAATCTTCGCTTTTGGCTTGGGTAGTGTTTGCTACATACGCAGAGCAAATACGCTGCCTTTTGAGACACACTTCTTCTTTATATTTATGACACTATATCACCAGCACATTACGACATCCGATTTAAAACTGAACACTGGATGGGAGTGGATGGAGACGAGCTGATGATTGACGATAATCAGAAAATCTCGGCACACAAGTGATTTTAGGAGTAATGCTTGAGTGCATAAGTTTAACGTTCGTGATCTCAGCAGGGAAAGTAAAATATACAGCTAAACAATTCCTGATTCTTAAGACATTTTAGTCCAACTAAAGAAAAGAAAGCTTTCAAAGCTTTAGCACCATGGTTGTTTAGTTATAAACAAAATTTACATCTAAAAAAAAGTGTTGATTGTAAGTAAATTAAAACACATAAATACAAGATTGGGTGAATGTATGGCTCAAAAAAAAAAAAAAAAAAAAAAAAAAAAACAGGCATCACCACTGCACAGATGGGGATATAATGCACCCACCACCAAAAAAACTGAATGGAGTAAAGGTGAACATGTGAGTACAACTGGATGATGAATCCCAAAACTCATCAGGAACCAAAATGTAGCTACTGACAGATTTTCAGCAATGCTTCAAACATATAAGGCTTCGTGAGTGTTGGCATCCTCCATTAAAATGGAGCAACTCCCCTCTTTGTGTCTGCTTCTAACGTCGAGTTATAAATATCAAAAACCACTTCCTTGCTAACTGCTGCAGCAATGAACAAGTGGAGGTTCCTCACCCAAATAAAATAATCCTAATAATAAAAGAAGGTGTGCTGTGGAAATGTGAGTCAGGAAACGTCCCAAGAGTTGGATTTTCCTTACTTTCCAAGCCACATTATTTCCCGGGATTTATTCCTGACCAGCCATGTGTATCCGGTCAGCCTGATAGTGGTTTATCCTCAATAAACAAATGTCTGCAGACCGCTGCTTGCCACCTTAATTTTAAGGCCTGCTAGTGACCAAAGATCCTCAACTTTCTTGACATCCCACCGAATCGTCAGTTGAGGAAGCGCCGGCATCGCCGGGCCCCGCAATTACAGTTGAGCTTGTTGCTGGCGTCCTCGATGGGGAACTTGTAGTCGTAGGTGAGTTCCTCGCCCCGGTAGATTTTTCGGAGTGCGAAGATGACGATGTGCTTCCGACCTTCCACGTTGATTACGCGTGAGTAGCAGTTGGGTTCGCAGGAGTGGTTGATGAACCTGGCCGCGTTGCCATGCATGGTCGCGTCCACCACGTCGAAGTCGTCAATACGGAACATGTAGCAGCCGATGCCCTGAAGGGGAGAACATTACATTCTGTGCTGTAGACGGTCCATCGCCTGATCAGCCCAAGGCTGAAAATGGTCATAGAGGAGAGTCGCCCTACCTTGCCATCGTAGTACTTCTCTCTTTTGTCGGTGAGCACTGAGCGGATGACGATGCCGGCGTACTCGATGACCATCTCCCCTGCTTCAATGTTCCTTTTGCAAAACAGGCCGCGCCCGTGAATCGCAGACCTGCATTGACAAGGGGAATACGTCAGAGGGAAAAAAATGTGTTTGGGATTCTGCATGAAAAAGTTTACAATTCCTCGTAGATCCCATGTAGATTCCTCCGAATCAAGATGCTTATTTCTTTTGTGAAGGCAGAGAGGATTGCAACAACATGACTGACAACACGTATTAGATGACATATTAATACTTTTCACAATTGTGAAGTAATTGAGGATGTACCCAGCCCTATTCTTACTACACACTATGAGACATTTTCTTGCATAAAAACTAAATGCTGACAACTTAATTTTCCTTCTTGTATTGACCTCTACAAAATGTGCTACATTCAATCCAGATATTTAAATGAATATCCTCATTAAAGGATCATATTTATTTATACATATTTTATTGAAATGTGAACATTCAGAAAGCTTGATGAACAAATATGGATTTATTTACTGAACAGAGACACTTTTGACTATAAAAATGTGACCTGTTTTTGTCATACAATTCCCTTCAGTATTTTGACCTCATCTGCACAGAGCGCTTTGATCAGCACTGCTTGTTTTCAAATGCTCTCATAATTAAATTTAACTTGACTTGTAGTTTTAATTATGTAAGCTCAGTAACATCAATAGATATGCACAATACATAGAATGCCAGTGGTCATTGCAATATTAGCATGGGCATTATCACAAATCCAAGCGACTGCTTGGAAGCTATAATGATTACATTTGAAGTGCTTTGCTTTCATGTTCTGAATAAGCCAAATATTAAAATATCTGAAAATGTCCATACTGGATGGATATATTTAGCGGCAGAGATGCCAATACTCTCAAAAAAAACCGAAGAAGCAGAGTCTTGGCAGAGTTCACATAATGTCAAACTACTGAAACCATAAGCACATTATTATCTTACTTCAATGGAGGTTTCACCAAAAAGGCTGACCTTTAAATTTGAACACTTCTGAATAAGATGTCTGTTTTACCTGGAACAGAAAGACATCTGGTTTTATGAAAAACAAGACTGCTGGTTCTATGTACGATTATTTGGCCGAAGTAAAGTTCCACCGTTTTTCTTCACTGATCACCGTTTGTTTTTCCAGATGTTGCATTCGAGCAACCTTAAGCAATAAAACCATGTTGGGTTTGTAGAAGCAGCTGACCTGTAGACTCCAACTGCCTCCTTGGACGTCCTTTCCAGGTGTCTGAAACGCATGGCCATAGGCAGCTCCAAACTGGTAGCCCGTCTGAGAGAAGGAACAAGAAAATATTTACATTTACACCTCTGTGCTATTTATTTTATTGGATATCCAACAATATCTAATCAGCCGAATATTGCAGTTCTAATATTTTATCTTAATTTTATCTTGACAACTTCTGATTAGAGGTTTGATTTTTTTTTTGTTTGTTTTTTTTACCCAATTGATTAAATGGATGTAACTCACATTACACATTTCCAGCCAATAAATCCATCACTCAATAACATGCGCATGTTAGAATTTATAAAAACATTTGAGAATTAGTTTCAGTTTATATTAACAGTGTTTATTTTATTTAAATGAAAAAATATATTTCTGTAGTCAGGCTGAAAAAACTAAACAAAATAGGAAATCAATATCAGCCTTGGAGATGTTTGTTTTTAAAAATACTGAGACGAAATATGGCGATCCATACAACACTTTTACATGATTCTTTTATTTGCTGATAAGCCATTCTATAAACAGCAAAGCTCAGAGTGTGCAAGTTAAGATTCAGTCTTGGTTAGTAAAGGTAAAACAGAGGTATGATGTATCGGCATCAGCCGATATTAATCCTTTTTTTACATACTGGTATCGAGGCGATAAGTAAAACTGGGCCGACAGCAACAAGTTATTTTTATTTCTTCTTTTTTCCTTTTGACTTTGTGCAACTTTTGTTCTGTGCAAACAAGAGCAGAAATAGATAGTTTTTATATTTCCAGAACCAGCACAGTTTGTGACGGGGGTGTTTCACTGAACAGAGATGCAATGCCAGCGTTTTCATTGTTGGGGTGTTAAAAAGGTAGTGATATACATATAATATAGAAAATATATGACAATGAGTCATATCTGCAATTTTTATATCAAATATCGACCCAAATTTTTATATCATT